CATGGGACCTGTAGTAACTTGTCACTTCTCACAGAGCAGCAGGGAGGAGACAGGGCAGGGAAGCTGCTTGGCCTGGCACCTGTCGGAGCTGGGCTTCAACTCCAACACTGCAGGTTCCCCAGAGAGAGCAGCAGTGGGAGGGCGTTCAGCTCCTAGCAACTTTACTGCCTGAGCACCACGAAGTGGGAGGAAAGCTTGAGAGCCTGAGGATGAGAATCTAGGAGGTGAGTGAGTGCCTACAGGCCTTTAAATAAGTGCCCTTTGAGTGGTTGAGCATGCGAGAACGTGGTGGCTCATCTACCCCCACCAACCTACCTTACCCACCTTCTAGCCCCTTCAGGGCCAAGCAGCTTCCAGAAAGCAGATGGAGCAGTGAACTTCTAGCACTGACCCCATCTCAGCCCCCGACCCTCACCCCACAGCAGATAGGGGCACTCCCCCGAGTGAGGTGAGGGACAGATACCCCTTTCAAACAATCACATGCATCACCCAGCTGAAATCTGCCCCCTTCCCCACAAAGCCTTTTTCACCTGGGAAAGCTGCATCCAAGCCTCTCCTTTGCTCCTGTTGGGGCACTTGGGTTGGTAGCAGCCAACTCCAAGAATCCAAGGTATGCCAGATCCCAGGAGGGCTCGTGGCATGTAGACAGACCATGCCTGGTTCCCCACCAAGGGTCAGAGGATGTCTCACCCTTCTGGGCCACCTACCACCCCTGCAGTGTGCTTCCCAACTTCTCTCTCCTTTGGAGAAGTTCCTACACCAGAAGCGCAAGGATCGGGTTTTCCTACATCCAGGGCGGTAGCAGGAGGAGCCCAGCCCACCCCTCTGACTGGGGGAGCTCTCCTAACTGACTCATCGGAGGCTGAGAGGCACTGAGAGGAAGGAAGTCTCATACTATTCTCATACTATTTCCCATTCAGACATTTTCAAGCATTTTCCATTTCAACCTGAAGAATATTTTCTTCTGCTCCACCTTGTCAGGACAAACATCGATGTTCCCAGCAGTAGGCACCCAGCAGTCCTGACTGCTCCCAACACAAAGAAACATGCCTTCCCAAATACATGAGTCCAAAGTCCCCCAGTCTGGAAATTTGGAAGGACTCCCCATATGAAAGAGGCAAGGGCCTCTGACTTGGTTTCCCCATGCCCCTGGGGTTGTCTCAAGCATCCCTGACGGAGCCGCCAGGAAGGCTCGACTGACGAGACTGTGTGAAGCCCGCATCCACACTGGGGTGCTGATGGCAAACCCACATTCTTTCCTTTTAAGACCCTTAGCATGGGCTGGGTTGTGTGAAGGCCTAGAAGTCACAAGGGACTCATAATCCCAGATAATTCAGCCCACATGGTGTGGCCTCTGCCATTTCTATTGTCCCCACAGGCAGTGTTTCCCAGGTTCCCAGATGAGAAGCACTACCGTCCTGGAGATGTGGATTTATTGGCCCAGTCTGGAATGGAACTCGGGATGTTAACTTTTTCAATAGTTAATTCTGGTTCTTATCATTGTGGGCCCTCATAGATCCCTCCAGACTACTGTCTGTCTTCTGCCCACCTGAGGCCACCTTCTGAGGTTCACTTCCTATCTTTAGACCCATTCCTTTCCTATGACTTGCCCTGGAATGGTGCCTCCCTTCCAGGGCCACCCACCACCTGCCTGACCTCATTCCTCTGCAAAGCAACCATATCAAAGGCCAACAGACACATCACAGCAGGATGTCCCACAGGCCTCGCCCTACCCCACTGCCACCTCTCAGGTGGAAACTGGATGACCACATACTTGCTTCTCCCTCAGCTATCATACTCTGGAAACATGCTTCCCTTGGCCTGTTGTGTTCCTCCTAAGCTTGTAAACTAAAGAAAGAACAAAGGGACTTTGCCTGGTCCAACATTAGCTTTTCATTTCAGTAGAATTGGTTGATTGGGTTAGTCCACTTAACTGACCCCAGGAGAGGACAAAGAGTTCACAAGAACAGGTTCTCGTGGCATGGAGGCAGTGTGGCCATACAGTGTGTCTGGCATGGGTCATCCCACCTGACCTCACAAAGCTCCTCACGGTTCTCCACAAGGTGGGTATCATGCCTCCCAATACCACAGGAAGGGACCCAGGCATAAGATTTTCTATGCCACTTACGAGAATGTTTCAGTCTCCGAAAAACAAGTAACACATGTGGGAAGATATCCAATATGCTTAGTCACTAGAGAAATGGAAATGAAAACCAGAATGAGACACCATTTCATGCTAACTAAGATTGCTATAGTAATAATGATGATGGTGATCCTGGTGGTGATGGTGATGGCGGTGATGGTGATGGTGATGATGGTGCATTGGAACTCTCATACACGGCCAGGGGGAGTGGAAAAAGGTACGACCTCTGTGGGCGACAGTTTTCATTTCCTCAAAAACTTAAAATTAGCATATGGTCCAGCAATTCCATTCCTACATATATAACTAAAAGAAGTAGAACAGGCACTCTAATGGATGCTTGTACACAAATGTCTGTAGCTGCACTTATCGTAATAACAAAAAGTGGCCACAACCTGGATTTCCACCAATGGGTGGATGAGTAAACTATGGCTTATCCATACAATGCAGTATCCCTCCGCTCTTAAAAGCAATGAAGTATTGATACATTTTGTGATGTGGATGAATTTCAAAAAACATCATGAAATACCTGGAAAAGGTAAATCTACAGAGACAGAACAGATTGGTGGTTCCCAAGGGGTAAGGGGAAGGAGGCAATCGAGAATGACTGTTTAATGGGTTTTCTTTTGGGGGAATGAAAATATTTTGGAATCAGAGGAAGTGGTCATACAATGTTATGAATGTACCCAATGCCACTGAATTGTTCACCTTGAAATGGTTCGTTTTATGTTATATGAATTTTGCTTCAATTAAAAAAATGTTGGGGTGCCTGGGTGGCTCAGTTGTTGGGCATCTGCCTTCAGCTCAGGTAATGATCCCAAGGTCCTGGGATGGAGCCCCGCATCAGGCTCCCTGCTCGAAGGAAAGCCTGCTTCTCTCTCTCCCTCTCCCCCTGCTTGTGTTCCCTCCCTTGCTGTCTCTCTGTCAAAAAATAAATAAAAATCTTAAAAATAAATAAAAATAAAAATAAATGTTAACACATATGAACGAAAAATTGAGTGACTGTCCAGTGGGTGGGTTTTTGGAAGCTGTCACCATTTGCCAGAACCTTGACAGGCATAGGGTACATCTTCTATGACCAAATGATTTGCCCCAGCTCTGCCATCTGTGACTTCAGTCTGGCAGTAGACTTCCTCACCCTCGGGGACCTCTCACAGTGCCCCAGGTTCTCCAGGCTCCACCTTGCTGAGCACTGTGGAGACTGACAGAGGTTGAATAGACTTCCCTAACCAGAAGGTCAGACTTAGAGCTGAGACTTTCTAACTGCATTTTATTTATTTTTTTTTTTTAGGATTTTTTATTTGTTTATCTGAGAGATAGAGACAGAATGCACGAGTAGGCTGAGTGTCAGGCAGTGGGAGAGAGAGAAACAGGCTTTCTGCTGAGCAGGGAACCCGATGTGGGGCTCCATCCCAGGACCCTGGGATCATGACCTGAGCTGAAGCAGCCACTTAACCAACTGAGCCACCCAGGAGCCCTCTAACTGCATTTTAATTTTATTAGCATACAAAGGTAAAATACTTAGTTACAATCCCAGCTCTGAGCCATTGAAAGATCTTGGTTATTGAGGAGAAATCCTATGTGTTTAAAACTAAGTCAGTCTACCTAGAAATTTCAGCTTCATCATTTTAAACAAATAACAGTAGGAGGAAGTGGTAATAATCCACCCTTTGTTCTAATTTTAAAATGTGAATAACTAACTTTCCAGGGAAAAAAAGCAGCAGAATTTTAAGAGCAGTTCAATCCAATAAATGTCCAATTCAGAGAGAGAGAGAGCAGTGCTGCTGGTACAGACTGTTTCCCATGATTTATGGTGGTGGCAATTTCCACGAAATCAGTCATGACTTTGGTGAAACTAGTGGAGCATTAACGCCCTTAAGTTCTGCTTTTAGGCAATTAACTGCTGGGTAATACAGATTTTTATAGGGGCTATGGCTTGTGTAAAGGCATAAAATGTGCACATTTTTGCTACATCAAATTGTGTTATCAACCGTGCTGTTACTATAGATTTTCATTTTCTCAAAGTCAGTTTCTCACAGGTACAACTGCTAACACTTAGTGGTTATTTCTGATTTCTATCTAGAATTAAATACTTACCATGCTGCCCAACTCTTTGGTTCATCAGTAGCCTCATAAGACTAAAAGTTGGTGGGCCATGCAGTCAGACCAGCACATTGTAACAGAAAGGCATCTCCTTCCTGGACCTCTCCAGGGGAATTGAGTTATCCCAGGAGCCCAAGAAATCTCTTTTCTGAAATTGTCACTTCACTGTAAGGAGGCTTCCAGATATGAGTGAGCTGAAAATGCCCCAGTGTAAAAGGCCTAGTTACCTTCTTACAAAATGAAAGAAAGAAAGGGGAACATGAGAGGAGGAAGAATGAAGAGAGGGAGAGGGAAGAAAAGAAGAGGAAGAAGAAATAATAAAGAAATGAGAGTAATCTGGTTTCTCTGCCCAAAAGCAGTTAACACTGGAAACAGAACTGGGTTAACCACGAACAATGGCCTCTGGTCAGCCTTTGAGCAGCACACGATAACGACTTCCACAACCCTACATGGGTTCAAAACTCAGCTTCACCATTTAGAAGCGCTGTGACCTGGAATAAGTTAAGTAGCCTCTCAGAGCCTTTGTTTCTTCACCCACCACTTCGAATGTAGCAGGTCTCAATGAGAGAACCGACTATAGGTGGGCTGGAGGCACATGATGTCTCCTGTGGTCCAGAGCACGCTTGATCCAGAACATTCGCTACTGATGTGGATGCTGCAATGCCAGGGGAATCAGAACAGAGCCGGTGCCATGGTATTTTTTTTTTTTTTTATTAAAAAACAAATTAAATAAAATAGTGGTCGATTTATAGAAAATGGAACCAGAGTCCACAGTTCATGGTGGGGAAGGCTCAGAAGATGGAGATGACGTTGCGGTTGCCGCCATTTCTTTTTCTTCATATCTGGGAGGCAGTTCGGGGGAGAGATGTGGAGTGATTAAGATCTCAGAGGACACAGCAGTCCCAGAAATGGTGTATATAGATTCACGATCTCTCTCGGAGGCTGTGCCTTGGCCCTCAGGAGTTGAAGTCCTACTAAAAAGGAGGGAGAACAGAAAGGGAAGAGAGGGGAACAGTAACATACCATAAGTATGAGGTTCTTTTCAAATGTTGGATTACATGTGTTTAGGAGTATTTAGAAATTACTAAGGAGTAATTTCTTCCCTATTCTGTTTCTTACAGGTATGCCTTGATTCCCTTCCTTCCTTAGAGCCAACTGTCACATTAAGAGAGTTTTACCCCATTGCTCTTTCTCTTGTCATCGAGAAGACATGACAAGGTAAGAACGTGTCATTGCCATCCAGAAAGCATACACGCGTGCAGAGTTACTATTCTCTACCTTTCTGTCTTTGGAGACAGCTCACATAAGGGAAACAAACTTACACAAAGAGAAAATTAAATCATAATCCAAAAACGTGAAGGAAGTCAAGAAAGCATACTGGCTCCTGGCATGAGCTCTAGTAAAGGGCAGACCTGCCTCTGAATTGCCACTCTGCTGCTTTCCAGCTGTGTGATCCTGAACAAGTTATTTCACCTCACTAAGCCTTGGTCTCCTCATCTGTAAAACAATGAGTGCCATCTCAGCTACCCAGGAGAATTACACGAGAGAATATGAGCAAAGCCAGATGTGGCACTCAGAAATCATGGTAGCAGCAAGTAGGAGTTTGTTTTAAGTTAACAGACATTTATTTAGGGCTTGGGCAAGCTCATCATTGGAGAAAAGAATACAAAAATTCACTAACAGAATTACGCAAATGTCCAGGACCTTATCTCCCCTTCCTCCAGGCAGGACAATTCCTAAATCCATCTCTGGATCTCTGGCCCACCACCCTGTCAACTTCAGATTGGAGCAGAAGCCCAGCTTGGTCAGGTTGGGGTCACCCAAGTACCTCCATGAGATACTGAAACCCTCTGCACCTGCTGGAGGTCCCCTAGGACCGCCAGGTCTCCCCTGATCTAAAGTGGCAAAGCCTAACACAGCAGGGGCCCTCCTAAGCCCTGCTCCGGTGCTCAGTCTGGCTAATAATGGGTTAAACATTTGTGGATCACCCCTGCCAGGGGGCCTAGTGAAGATGCCTGGAGGAGGCTTCCTATCTAACCACTTTTGTAATTTTTAATGTATGTGCTGCCCAGCGTTTCTGAAAGGTCCTCTTAACATTAAGGCAATAGTTCTGACATCATATCGGCAAAAAAGATACTCATGCTCACATGTTTATTCCTGTACCACAGCCTTAAAGCTAATTTGGCCTGAGTTCAGGCACAGGCCTGAGAAAGTTAAACACGCCTACCCTTGACGTTCAAATGCAAAGCCTTACCCATAGTTAAAAATACTGTAATACGAAGGTGGATTTTCGCTGGGAAGCAAACCATTAGCCCCAGGACTCGGAGTTACTGTAGAAGCTGAAGACTCGGGAAAGTAAGGTGGTGGCGGAGGCGGGAATATTATCACGGCGTCACCTAAGGAAACACAATATTTCATCAAAGACAGATGAGTAATAAATGCAAGCCCATTAGCAGGAGTAAAATAAATTAATTACGTATCTTGCCCATGAATACAAAGGGTCAAACCTCCTATGCTAACTCCAGAATTTAAAAGTGGGCCTATCAAATTCACAGAGAGGGAGCGTGGAGGTTGCCAGGGGTTGGGGCAAGGCAGGGAGGGGGATTCAAGTGAGTGTTTAATGGGGGCGGTTTCTCTTTGATGATCACAAACTCCTAGAACTTGAGAGCAGTGATGGTTGCAGAACACTGCGAATGTACTTAATGTCACTCTCTGCTTAAAAATGCTTAAAATGGTAACTTTTATGTTACGTATATCATACCACAGTTTTTTCAAACAGTGCGCCAATATTTTCCTAGTCAGTCTGAGCTCAAGCGCTTGCTTTCTTGGGAAGCATTTTCTTTCTTGGGATGCCTCCTGCTGCAGAGCTTTTCTCCTTCGCAACTTGAAATTTTAAATTGCCGACCATTAGCAGTTCAATAAAGTGCCTGTTCCTTACATGCAGTTTCAGCGTCTGAGCAAAGGACAGGTGAGGGGACAGCGGATGTCTGTTACCGTGGTACCTGTGGTATATGCTCTTCTAGAGTCTTTTCTCTCCCAACATTTCACTCAAGCTTTACAAAAGGAAGTCACACTCCAAAATAAGCTTTTTTTTTTTTTTTTTTTTCCTTTTCCTTTTTGCATTTCTGTTGCTGCTGTTCTCTCCAGAACACAGCCCACATTTTGGGGAGGAGAAAGAGACACCAGATACAAGCTCTCATTTGGACTCCAATTCCAATACCAAACACACCACGTGAGCTGCCTAGAACATTCTAGACTTGTGGCAGCACCCCACTCCATAGCAGTTTGAGGGTAGCCTCTGAGGAACTGGCAGCACCAAAGGACAAGGCAGGGAGAATGAAGGAGAGGACTTTGAGTCACAGCAGGGAGGTAGGCCATGTGTCCTGGCAGCGGGCGTGAGTGGGCGTGTGACCCTCGGCTAGGTAAGCAACCATCTGCCAATGACCAACTCAGTGTGGCCCCGAGTGAGTGATTTAACCCCCACAGGCCTCAACTGCCACACTGGGGACTTGCAGGCCAGCCATAACTGTACCTGCCTCAGAGAACAGGCAGGAGGACGTCAAGCCTGGTGGTTACAACAGTGCTGGTAAGGGACCCACAAAGGTGCTTTCCGCATAAGCCACAGCCAGCCAGGGGCATGGATTTGCATGTGCGCATGTGGGAGGAAACCCTCCAGCTGGCAGCCCCTCTCCTGGCTGCCTCAGTGGCTCCCATGAAGATGTGTTAACCCTTTCTCTCCTGCAAGCGCATGGCAGTGAAGGTTTAAGACAGACATTGCTCACCTAAACTTGATAATGTCTACTGGTTATCTTGGGCTTCTCGTTTAATTTTTTTTCACAGGTCTGGGTAGGTTAGAGGAAGTAAGGCTGACTGTTTACTTTAATTACACAGTGTAGAACAAAGGAGCTGGGAATAAGCCTCCAGAGCAGGCCAGTCACCTGTCCAATGCAAACAAGGAAGTGCGCAGGGTCACCACCTGTCTGGGAGGGTTGTCCAAGCCTCTGCCCATCAGTTCCTGCCCTCCCAAGCCTTGCGACCTGCTCTCCCTAAAAGCAGTCCCATCCCCCCTCAGTTGCCCTTTCACTATATCCTGAAGGACTTGATGTCCTCTGAGTTGACAGCAGACATCCCTCAAGGGAGAGCTGTCTCATGTTCCTGCCTGGGTGTCCAGGACCCAGCACCGGGTGTGCCCAGGGTGGTGATAGCACACATCTGGGGAAGAGGGGCTTCCAATCTAGGAACAACTGAATTCTGGGACTTCACCAAGAACTGCCTCTCATGATCCCAATCCCTCATAAGGCAGAACTGACCGTTGATAGACAATGTCTCAATTCTTATCAATTAGGCTAAAAGGCACGTTTCCTGAAAATTTCAACCCTATCCCATAATATCAAAGGAAAGAAAAACAAGGAGTTAGGCTGCCAGACTTTCACAGGTTCGATGGAACTTAAAGGGTTAAGCGGAAAAGATTTTAGGATGGAGGATGGAGTCCCAACATCAGGATGAGCACCCTCCTCCCCAGCCCGGGAGTCACTATGTCCCTACACCAACCACCCTGCTTTCTGCTGTCACCCAATTCCAGCCATCAGGAGGGAGGCTGGGCCCCAGAGGTCCCCTGATAGGACACCCGAAGGGCACACGTCGAAATGCTCCCAACTACGTGGAACACTATGAGCGTCAAAAAAGTGTATTTACTTGTCCCCACTGTGTTCCCCAAAAGGACTGAGCACACCTATAACACAGGGCAAGCCCTTTGGTCAGGTAACAGCTAACCCACAGCTTTTGGGGAAGGATGAAACCAGCAGGAACAGAGTTACAGACACCTGCCCAGAGTCCCTCCCAGGGTTCTGTGGGGACTGGAGTCGGTGCATGCCCCAGCCTGGGTTTGAGGCCCGGCTCTATCCTTGCTAGTCTGTGCTCTCCCTGTGCCTCAGTTTCTTCACCCTCACATGGAGATACTAAGAGTATCTCATTGGGTTGTCACAGGTGTGAACAACTTGGACAGAGTAGGCCCGTGTAGGGCACTTGGATGGGTATCTGGCCCTGGAATGAGCCCCGTATCTGTGCTAGCTCTTATTACTGTATAACTAATATCGGTGTGGTCACTGCAAATATATAACCACACAAATATTAGCATGGGAGTTTCAACTGCAGTTCCAGGATTGGTGTGTAAACCCCTCTGCCCTTGCTCACTGAGGCCGGTACTGGCAGGGCTGGCGGTATAGGGACCTCCCCCAGAGAGTAGTGCTCCCTCTGGCAGACTGCCCCAACCATGAGAAACCTCTCATTCCCCGACTCTCTTCCCTCCAGTGTTTTTGCCCCATAATGCTCTATGCCTAGTCTTTTAGATGTCACGGCTCTGGCTTCAGCTTTACCTTTTCAAAAGGAGCAGACTGGGGGGAAAGAAGTGATTTTCAAAAACAAGCACCAGTGGGGTTTCTCTGTGGTTGTGTGAAACTGAGGCCCCAGCTACTGATGTTCTGCTCTAGGGGGCCTGACCCCAGGAAATTGTCATCCATCTCTTCCACAGAGCCCGAGAACCCAAAAGTCATCTCTCGACATGCCATGGGGGAGAGAAGTGACAGGTGCGATCATGTTTCATCGCTGTCTGGGCCACTATTTCTAAACTTTGCCTCCACCCTGACGCCAAGGATAAAGTTACAGAAAGTGGAGAACGATGTGGGAAACAGTGTGGAAAGCCCGCTCAAAACACAGAAGATCGAGGGACTTGGGGCAAACAGAATCCTAGAATTGTTAGTGCTAGAAGGGATCTTAGCAATGCAATGCTCATTTTATATATACATAAGCTGGAGCCTAGAAGGGGTTAAGGACTTACCACGGACAGCCAGGGATGAGAATGTACGTGTCCAACACAGTGCCCTAGCTTTCAATGTCACTTGGCTGGTCTCTAACATGACAGAAGGCTCCCAGGCTGTGCTAGCAATTTTTCTCACCTTCCTCTTAATTTGCTCTGTGACCTCAGTCAAGATCATGACTTATTATCCCAAAGCTTGTGCTCAATCACAAGGAATTGCTGGGAGAAGATGTGCACAAGGATTCTTACAGGGCTTAGCAAGTAGCACCGTGTGCATGTGTGTGTGCGTGTGTGCACATGTGCGCGTGTGCATGTGTGTGTAAGAGCGAAAAGGGAATCTAGGCCAGGCCCAAGGATAACCCAGTGGAGCCCTGAAACCACAGCCACTGCAATGTGAGTGTGCCCAGGAACGACAACCACATACCTACAGTGACCTGGACAGGCTCCATGCTCTGCGTCTGTCTGTCTTCACTTTCAGAGGCATCTTGGCCCTCATTCAAGTTGTTTCTCTTAACGTGGGCCACCACAAAGAAACACAGTCCCATGAGTACAATCAAGGGCCCCATGATCTGCAGGGACAGGAATCCACAGGTCTGGGGCTCCGCATCAGCCGTGTCTGTCTCATTCAGCGGTTCCTGCGCCCAGTCTGAGCCACACCCAGGGACCCAGATGCCCAGTATGCTGACGAGCATGCCACTCGTCAAGAACAGAAACCCAAAGATGAGGCACTGGGCAAACTGGCGGCTCTCTCCACAGATGAAGGCCTGGTCCGGGTCCACCTGCCGGCCCCGCAGGCGCCCCTCCCGGAGCTGAAGTCGTGCCCTCGAGCGGGCCAGGATCACAGCCCCGAGCCCGACCGCGGCACAGGCAGGCCCAGCGACCTTTAGCACCAGGCTGCAGTCTGGGAAGATTTTGTACTCGCAGGCCTGGAACCCGAAGATGGAGAGCAGGACTCCCACACATAGCAGGACGGCACCAAAGACGAAAAGGAAGAAAATGAGCTTGCTGACACGCCTGTCTCGCCGGTCCCCATCTGAGTCAGCAGCAGCTACAGGAGACATGGCCGGAAGAGGCCCCTTCCCCCTGAACCGGGCAGGATGGATTTCCTTCCCTCCAATGGTTTCAACAGCTCTGAAAATACAACCGAACATTGAATTAAAGTGGGCACAGGTGTCCCAGACCCGCCCTGGCCATTTCAGAAATCACTCTAGGATGAAATCATAGGGAATAGAACTTGGTGCAAGTGATACACTATGGAACAATGAGCTGGTTTATGAGTCAGAAGCACTGGCATTCAGAAACTCCTGAATGTGTAATTTTATGAAGATAGTAAAGAAGAGGAAATGCAATTACCATGCACCTAAGAGTATCTTTTAAAAAACAAAACCCATACAAGAGAAGTAACTGGGTGTGGCTTTTCCTGTTATGAGTCTTACAAACTCACTTCCTCGGCAAAACAACACAAAGCAAAACAAACCCCAAAACAGTGGTGAGTAAAGGAAGAACTACAGGGATTATTTCTGATTTACAGACATCCCACTTTTCATCACAGCTGCTCTGAGCATTTCCGAGTCAATACATTTTCGTTCAGTAACTAACTTTCCATTTCCTATTTTAGACTGCGGCAACTTTCCATTCTCCCGCTTTCTTCTAAGGCTAGGACACCTGCAGGAGGGGCAATTCAGCCGTTTCCACTGAAGGGGAAGGCAGTTCAGGAACACAGTGACTTTGGGGGATTTTAAATTAACTCTGTCAAAATGTGATTCTTCAGTTCTCACATGGGCACTGGAACCCTGGGGCCCGGCTGACTGGGCCGGGGTAACCCAGGGGAGTCTGGAACAGGTCAGGCAAAGCCTTCTTCCCAGGTGTGCAGGCGGCCTGTCACATACCCTCCTCCAAGGTGCCTTTCACTTTCACAAGAAAGTTTAGGCTCAGTTAAAAATAAGCAGCTGATAAAATCACCAGTTACAAAGCACACAACAGCAACAGAACTTGACTTTGAACGGAGAGTGTAAGTGAGATCAAGTGGGAAAGCACCTCCCACAAGATCACCCAAGCCCTGTGCTGATATCATCGAGTATTAAGTGGACCCAAATCAGTTGTTAATAACTGTCTACTGTATGCAAATTGACTTTATTATCTTAGTTATCTCGTCTTACTCTCACGAGTGGAGTATTTTACCAGGACACTTCAAGTTGGGGCAGTGGAAAAGACAACCCAAGTGTGAAGACCATTTTTACTGGCTCAAGGAAAGAAAACTTAAAATATTTTGTCCATATGTATCTGTGATCACATGAAGGAGCTCAGAATTGAGGCTGTAACCAAGGCTGTCTTGACAAACCCAAGTCACATCCAAGGAGGGTCAGTTTAAGTAAAGAAAACAAATAGCTGGTCTTATACTAGGAAGTACTTTTCCAGGAAAAAGTGCAATCTAATCAGAAGGAAGTTGGAAAAAGAAGGAAATGTAGGAGGGAAATAAGCTTCCATTTTAAACCTGGACAAATTATATTCATGAAGATGGAATATTCTGAGACAAAGAAAATATTGCAGTGTAAAAAACAGAAATCTGAATCATGTCATCTCTTTTGCTGGTTCCAGAGATAAGGGTGATTCTCTGTTACAAAGTCCTGTCAGGAATTCACTGAATTCCTGGTACCTTCAACTCTGAAGTGAGTCACAAGGCTTCAGATGTCTTAAGGCGAATTCCCCAAATACTAGTAGAGTAAAAAGAAGCCAGAAACGGGATCTGTATCCATGGACAAGTGGGCTAAACACCTGCCATACGTACAAATCCCTCATCCATAATAGGTGGGTAGTCAAGTCTGTCTGTCTCCTACATGCATTCACAAATGGACACAAAAATATCTACACTAACAGAAAATTAAACCTTTTCCAAATACCAACCTACATTTAATTTCCCCAAAGCCAAATCTCCCTCTCCACCACTGTTAGCCAAAGGACATTTCCCAATCGCCAGCATCTCACCACACCCAAGGTTCTACCGCGTTTGGAGATCGAGGTAAAGCCAGCCCAAAGTCTTTTATGGGAAATCTTTTCGTGGGTGTCAGGGAACCCAAGGGCAACAACAGCCCCCGGCGGCCGGGCTTGCGGCTCCCACCCCCCGCAGACTCAGCTCCGGATCCTCCGCGCCGGTGCTGCTCGGGACACCAAGCCTTGGCCGCAAAAGCGCTCTGCCCGAGCCCGCACGGGAGTGCGGAGAAGCGCGGGGACCTGAGCGCTCACCTGCGGCTTCGTCCTGCGGGCGCGGTGCGTGCGCCGGCGCGCGTCCCGGGAGCCCGGCGCCGGCCTCGGGGTCCGCGCTCGGCTGGACAGCGCGGGCCGCGGGCACCCGGCGGGGTGCGGCCTCCGTGTGGCTGCCCGCACCGCACGCTCCCACCTGCGCGTCCTGGCGCGGAGGGCGGGCCGCCACTGTATTTACAGAAGGAGGCGGTGCCAGAGAGGGCGCGGCGGCGGGGGCACCGCGGGGCAGGGCAGACAGGCGGGAGCTGGCTGCCACCGGGCGCTGCCCTGTGGGGCCAGGGGCGCGGCCGTGGGCAACGAGGTGCGGCCTCGGAGCCCAAGGCCGGCAGATGTGACCGCTTCGCCTGTGACCGTGCTCGCTAGGAATCTGGGGGAAATGGGCGCCCCCCCCACCTCTCTGGCCTGCAGCCTTGCGGGGTAGGGGGCGGCCAGCTGAGGCTCTGCTCTGGGCAGCCCGAACTGCGCGCCGCGTGGGCTGAGATCCAGGGAGCAGGAAAGGAACCGGCTCCTTTGGGTGCTCAGGGCCCAGAGCTGGGGCGGGGGAAGCGCCTGGCCCCCTTTCCGATGTGGCGGTGGCCCAGGCAGGATGGGGCCCTGCGTTCCTGAGGCCGCGCTCTGGTCTGGGACCCGTCTACCTAGCTGCAGGCGGCCCTCCTGCCGCTCCGGAGACCCTGACTGCGGTCACTGGAGCGAGTCCCTTGCTGCCAGCTCCCCATCCGCGACGGCGTTGAGGAGACACCAGGTCACTGAAATATGCGCTCTGTTTAGAATGTGAGACAAGGTCCTCCATACCTGAGCCATTCAGGCGTGAGGTCCTCGCTCCAAGACTGAAGCAGGCCCTTGGCAGGTCAGCTCTGTCCTTTCTGCACTCACACGTCTGCTCTTTGCCATAGAACCCCTCTTCCTGCTCTTAATTGTTAATGGTCGGCAGCACTTAAAACGGTAACTTTCCCTGCCCTTGAACCAGGAGTGTCAGGATGGTTTCACCAATCCGGGTACTATTTGTAACCTGCCTTGGGACACGTGACACGGGACCCAACTATGCCAGTTTCCACCCCGGAGGTCAGGGCACTGTGGAAGGTGAGTCAAGGGCTCAGCCCAAGTACAGTTGTGCGGTGAAGCCCTGGGGACTTACCCATCCCCGCCACTTCTCCCCGCTTCCCGTCAGCTTTGCCTTAAACCGGGTCACAACCCCATGCCAGTTGCTTTGGGCTTTTTAAAGGTGTGAACACTTTGCATACCTAATACAGCAAGTTGTTCTGTAGGTCTCACTGAAGGTGAAGCATGAGCTGGGCTTAGCCAGTTACCAAGGGTGTGAGGGAGGCAAAGAGGGAAGGGTGGTTCCCTGGGCTCTGAGCGCTGGATGGCTGGGTGGGTGATCTGAGGCTTCAGGAGGGAGGCATACTGGACAAGTTCCAGTGTTGCAATTTGCTGGGGACCCTCGCCCCAGTGGCCAGATATGGCCTTTTTCATAGGCAGAGTGAGAATCTCTGCCCTAACTAAATATCACCGATTATTACTATCATGAATAATACTAATGTCCCTGGTTCTGTGCCAGGCTCTGTGTTTCCCTATTTTACCTACAGCCTGTGGTACTTTAGTGTGGGTTCCCAGCAAGTCAGAGAAGGCTGCAGCCAGAAGAGAATGGGGGGCTAAAAACCAATCCGTTTTCAGTTGAGGAAACCAAGGCCCAAAGGCAAAAATCGACCTCCTCAGCTGATTAACTTGGAGCCTGGGCCCGAACCAGATCTACTGACTGTTCCTCCTAGATACACCTGTCACGCAGAGGACACACAATGCCATGAAACTCAGAAATGCCTTTTTATTATGTGGCTTTTTTTTTTTTAAAGAGAGAGAGTGAGGAAGTGTGCGAGAGCAGCGGAGGGCCAGAGGGAGCAGGAGAGAATCTTAAGCAGGTACCACATAGCGCTCACTGAGATTGTGACCTGAGCCGAAAACAAGAATCAGACCCTTCACTGACTGAACCACCCAGGTGCCCTGGTATGTGGGTTTTTAGTCTTTATGACAATATAGACGCAGTATCCCAAGGACACTGCAGCCATCTAGGTCTGGGGTGGGGCTCTCCTGGTCAGAGTGTCAGTATATCCCAGGGTAGATACGAGACCTGGAAGGACGCCTAGCTAAGAAGCAGATAAGCAAGAGTGGTGATTGCACAACAGCTGCTGACATGGAACTTTCTAAGAACACAGGCCCTGAATGCAGAACGTGTTCTCCCTACAAGGCCTTTCTCGTGCGAGAGGCTTTCCATCTCCTCTGGGCCCTCATGCTTTCCTTCTCCCGTATCTGAAACTCGATCTCCGATACGGAGTGCAGTGGGACCTGCAAGGGGCCTGTGGACACAGCTGCCCTTTGGGGCCACATGACTGCAGGCTGGCCACACATGATGGCCTTAAATGTGCAGACACCAAGGACGATCAGATTAGCCTCAGCTCGGGATATCAGCTGCTTGGACTGTTTGTCTAGTGGAGCCTGTTTGACTAAACTAAAATCCTTGGAAATTGATCATCAGTCAAATATGAAAGACAAAACCACCAGCCTTCAAGGTGCTCAACTTGGGGGCAGACCTATTTTGAGGAGAGAGGCTGGGGGACCTCCTCCCTCTCTAAAACCAAGTGGCCTTTTCCAGCCTGTGTGGTCATGAAAAAAGATAAGACCAGACAGAATCCTTTACAGCATCAGAACAAGGTTTTAAAAATGGATGAATCTTGGGTCGCCTGGGTAGCTCAGTCAGTGAAGCGTCTATCTGCCTCCGGCTCAGGTCATGATCCCAGGTCCTGAG